GTGTTGGTGTGTGTGTGGGTGTGTGTGTGTGTGTGTGTGTGTGTGTGTGTGTGTTTGTGTGTGTGTATTGATCTATCTATCACACCACACCTGCCTTCCTCCATCATCACTTTCAATGTATGAAAGCAACAGTGTGAGGGTGGGAGGCTATTCAATCTGGGTAGCTCTCCCAGTATTACCTGAGCTTTGGGACTGTGCTAGGTGTGAAACACATCCAAATTTATTAACAGAATGTGCAACTTGCATCCTGGAAGTCTGCACTGCATATATGTGCACATGTATGTACCACTATCTGAAGAATAAAAAACGAGTTAGTATCTTTGGGAAAGTTTTTGTCTTTTATAAAATAGGAAACAAATTATTTGCAATCACCATAACAGAACTGAAATTGGGTATGATATATACAAATTAATTTTAACAGTGAAGGTCAAGCCCTTGAGGCCGTAGAAGAGACCCATACAAACCAAGCCACTTCTATAGCAGTAAAAACAGTTCCTTCTGTTTGCTAACTCCACTGGGGGAAAAGAAAGCTAGTACAGTCATGCTGACAAAACAATGCAGGCCAGACTTCCTTAGCTGCTGGGCAGTGTGTGGGTCAGATGCAATTCATGTGGCTTGTTTTTTCCACAACCTGCTGAGTAGTGACTTGGCATTCAGCTGCTAGAGACATTCTGAACTGGCACTGCTGATTGCTTAATGCACAGGTACAATAAGTACTTCATGCCAAACTAAACACAATTTAAAGGTCCCTTTGGTTTAGCAATGGTTACTTAAACCCAAATGTACCCTTTAATCCTTTTTATCCATGTTGTCCCTTGCTCAGAAATTTTATATGGAAACTGTTTCCAAGCTCCTTTCTATTTCTAGCCTCTCTCAAGGAGCGAAAGGGAAAACATTCCAGTAAGCCAGCTTGGCATGGGATGTTTTTGTTTCCTTTGTCCGCCACTGTCTTTCTTTTCATGCCAAATAAGAAACCAGATTCTTCTCCCTCTATTAACATTTTAGCCACTTTATATCCAAATTCGTTTGATTCTAACAACACAACAACATGCAGATCCACGTGAATGAACTGTGCTAACCAAAATTCTGCACTGCACTAGAGTAAGTCCAGAGCAATTCAGTACTGCCATGTTTTTTAAATACCAGGATTTAGAATAGCTGGGTTCAAATCCATGGCCATGATGTTAATTAATGCTTAAATTGATCACACACTCATAATCTAAATAATTTCACAGTACTGCGAAAATAAAAAGAGAAAGCGATACAAGCAATCTTATACAAATTCCTTAAGGAAGCATGGACTAAAAGAGTTTAAAAATAAGGATTTGGAAGGGTTAAAAACAACCCATGCTGATTAAAATATACTTTATTCCCACGTGTACATCAGATCTATTTAATGGTGTAACAAAAGACAGAGCAGCCCTGTCTCTTGCTTTGCAATCAGGAAGTCTAGCTATTACTTGAAGAGGAGAAAGAAATAAAATACTTACTATGCTGGTTAATAAGCATCCGGAACGAGATTCGGTTGGTGTAGAATCTATCTAGAAAATACTGGATATTACTGCTCACAAAAGGGTCAAAGCCATATTTTTCCTTGTATTCAATTACTCCTTGGGCCATAGTTGGAACAACATCATTGTGCCTGTTCCTGACTTTAATTAAGATATCTAAAAAGCTGGAGGGAAAGGGAGAAATCAGAAATGTTGCTATAGTAAATGCAATATCCACATTTCAAATGATGGGTTTAAAATATTTAGTCTTCTGTAACTTCTGTAAATCATATTCTAAAACTTCTGTAAATCATATATTCAAAGGAAAATTATGGGCCTGTAGGAGAAAGGTCACCTGGCTATTTCAAATAATTATTCAGACTTCAGTCTTCCTCATCTCTGCAGGTCATGGTAATGTGAAACTCAGCCTCCTGCCTACTCTGTTCTTCCAGCCTGCCTCTTCTGATCCTCTTTTCATTTTTGTCCACACCTGTCTCAGTTCCAGTTAACTTGCTCAGAACCCTATGGTTTGCCTTGATCTCATTTGCTGTGATCTCTCCTAGGATCTGGGTACTTCAGACAGTGGAACCAGAGAAGTTATGGCTGCTCTAGCATATACTTTAGGACAGTCCAGGGCATGAAGCCCATGACTTGAAATAATCCTTTAATATTTACAAAATAAGCAAGCCAGAACATAAACCATAGTCAAAGAAAGCTAATCTTCTACATATTTAGCATTTAAAGGCCTAATTGGGATAAACATTTGTGCTGAAGCTAGACTGGGTTTTTTCATGCCAAAAACTTAGAGCACTAATCATCTGTGTGAGGGGCTAGAAAAATGGAAGCATGGTGTCTTATAACAGACAGTCTTAGGAATCTTGCATAATGTGAAAGGGACTATTGCTTTTTGTCTGTTTTTAATCTGAAGACACCACATATATAAGAACAGAGAGGTTGAGAAACACCAGTCTGAAAATGAAAACTACACGAGAAGCCACATGGAAAAGACAAGGGTAACTGGCAGCCTGGGGAGGACACGTGTATTCTGCTTTTAAGGCTTCAGTATTCCACAATAAATAGATAATGATGAAAAACACAATACAGCCCACATATCTACTTATGCCATAATGATAGATTAAAACTTAAATATATTGGTTAACTTTTAACCTCAGTTTCTATAAATCCTAACAGTTATTAAGGCAGTGACCTACTCAACAGAACAGTTGAAAACAATTAGATAACATTTATGGTAAAATGTCACAAATTTTCCTTCCACAATTTTTACAGATCACATTTTTTAATATATTTATTATGATATACACAAGATAGAAAGGATCATTTCAAAGTACAATGGAGGGGAAAAAGCCTTATTTTCAGATGTTGTGTATGAAACTGAAGAGACCTTTTCATAGGCAACTATGAAAGATATTGTTTAACATATTGATCAAAGTAGAACCTACATGGTGCATTCTGGGGGAAAAATAGACTCTCATACATAATATATAAGGCCATCTATATAAAGAGTGTAGATGATTAATAAGTAAAAATTAGAATGGAATTATTCCAAGAGAAGACCTGAAAATACAAGATTCACTGTTTCGAAGTAGAATAAGAAAGTATCTATAAGCAAGAGCAAATTTTAACTGTTAACCAACATTGCTACTTTATGACTTCAGGCTCCAGCTATTTAAAATATGCAAACAAAAGTGCATGTTTTTTTGCTTTTTTTGACTCCCCATTTCTCAAAGGATATACAGATACCAAATCTCTATATCTAGCGGCAATTATGTTTTCTCTTTTCACCCCTTTCCACAAACATCATGTGGGCTGCCTCCTCTTTAGTAATGTGTCCACTTAATGGGTATATTTTAGTATTAAGAGATATCATACATCTGAAATGCAGTTCATTTAACTCTTGAAAAATACTGCTCAGATGGATCAGCTTTATGGATAACTTAAGAGCCAGTAGATCAAGACCATGCAAATCAGGACTCTGCACTTAAATTATACATGTCTCAATGTATCCTAGTATTTATTTAGCTACAATACTGTTTACTGTTGTACAACACAGGTTATAAAACTACTCAGAACTTGGCTGTCAGTCTAATAATCCATACGTACAATGAAGGGAAACAAGAATATTGTAACCAGAACAGGATGGTGGTAAACTTGGTGGAGTCAATTAGGAACTATATATAACAAAATCAGAACCTCTTTCTCACTGTACATCATTTAATACCTGGCCAACCAACAAAAAGACTTAACAGGAGTTACACTTAAGTTTTCCTTTTCAAGCTGGCCTTTCTTTCTTAAGGAAGAAAAGGAGGCCTGATAATGTGTGGCCAGCAAGACAGTCTCAGGGCTGAGCAGCTCTTTCCTTCCTCTATACTTAGCAAAAGCAGAATGATGCAAAAATAATGCAATTTTTCTTCCATTTATACAGGTTACAGCCTTCTTTGGATTACAGAATGCATACAACTGTTTCTCCTTTCTGACAGGACTTATTTTTCTTCTGCGGGCCCAACATAACAGTTGTAACCCTCATTTTCAGTAATTATCAGATTTAAACAGTTGCATAAGTACACTAAATATTTATTGCAAGAACAAGAAATTACTTAAATTCATTATCTTACTTTCACGAAGAATGTAAGCTCTCCAGACATTCTGATCAATTTCATTCCCTATATCTTTTGCTGAGAAGATATTCTAGTCCAGAGGGCTGCCGAGATGTAAATATAACCTTTTCTAATAAAATCATGTCCATTTTCCTTGCAGGTACTTTTCTAACATACAGTACATTTCTGATTGTAAAAGAGTGCTTTGCTGCTCTAAGATATTTTACTTGCCATTTTCCCGCCTAATCAGCAATGCTTAAGTACCTTGCAAATTCCTCATGCAGTTTTCAAATGATCCATTACTCTAAAAATAATAACTGAGAAATCTGAACAGTAACAACCTAATCCTAAACCTAAAACCTTCAAATTGCACAAGGAGGGTTTTAACCTCCTCACCTGCCTTGCTGATTGGACAAGCACCCCTTCTTGAAAATTATTTAATGCTTAAAAGCTTCAGCTAGATTAGATCCTGCTGATTCTATGAGGATCTGAGAGTTAAGGCCAAGAGAAGTCCACTCCTATGCTTTGCTTTCTCAAATGATAGGGGAGAAAATCATTTTTGTATGGTAGGTGATCTAAGTATTAGAGCACCCCTTCTTACAGAAAAAGATATAAAAAACAAAAATGCAATATGTGCACATATTACATTTCTACAAGTTAAACCACTGTACATATGCTGGCTCACATGGATTCTGAACACCATTTATTTTCAGTAAAAAAATTATTTTACCCATTTAGCTAAATGGGAACAACTTCAGAAGAAAACAACAGACAGCATTTAAACCACTGTAGATATGCTGGCTCACATGGATTCTGGACACCATTTATTTTCAGTAAAAAATCGTTTTACCCATTTAGCTAAATGGAAACAACTTCAGAAGAAAACAACAGACAGCATTTAACATGTATTTCCTTTTGTAGAAACAATACCATTTGTCTATCTCATTGTTAGTAAGGAGAATTACAATTTAACAATTAACATTCACCTTAAACTTGTATAGACTTGGAATAAAAGTGGTGAAGTGGTAAGAGTACTGGACTCAGATCTGGCCAGATTCCGATTCAAGCTCCCACCAATACTTGGAACTCACATGGTGACCCTGAGTGAATCACACAGTCTCAAACATCCTACTTCACAAGAGTATTGTGAGAGTAAATAAGACTGGAGGAGAGTCATGTATACCAGTTTGGCTGAATTATAACCAAGCAATCACTCTATCAATATTTTAATTAGTTTATTAATGCATGCAGTAACTGTAATTAGAAAATTGGCAATATTTTCTATTTAGCTTATTGTTCTAATGAAATATCTACTCATGCCAATAAAAGTCAGAAGTGTTCAGTAAACTATAAAATATAATTCTGACTTCAGCCACATTCTAGTAGAAGTAGCCCCAAATTTTATTTATTTACAACAACCCACCACTTACTTATCTAAAACATGTGGATCTTCCGGACTTTTGTTTTCATATTCTAAAAGCTCAAGAAAGCTCTGCATATACCTGAAATACAAGTAAACAGGGAATGTTAGTATCAGACTTAACTGGGGGAAAAGACTTGAAAAATATATAGATAACTCCTTGAAAAAGAAAATTATGCTTCAGTTTACCAGACACAAGCCCTATCCGATGGCAATTTTTAGAATATATATTTTAATTGCATTTTAATTTTGCCTTTGTATTTTAAATGTTGTAAGCCACCCAGAGACCTTCAGGTAGTGTGGGTGGCCTATAAGTTAAATAAATAAATAAATATTTAATTGAACTGTGCATTATGACAGCCTCCTTCATCTATGAATGCTTTCCTTACACTTTTAGAATCCTGGAAGAACAACTTATATATACCTTCCTTCTGCATCTTATGAATTGAACTGTGCTTACGACAGCCTCCTTCATCTATGAAGGCTTTCCTTGCACTTTTAGAATCCTGGAAGAACAACTTATATACACCTTCCTTCTGCATCTTTATTTTATTCATTCATTCATTCATTTACCTTCCTTCTGCATCTTATTCTAACACTTTGAAATTTATTAATTCAGGAATATGTGGATATACTGTACATACAAAAATATTTATAAATCCAAATTTATTTGTAGATGCTTTTACTATAACAGAATAAAACTCATGAAAATTGAGCTGAGACACGTTGTGAGTAGAAGAGCTAAGAGAGGAGACTGGAATGTATACTATGGGAAAAGGATTTTAACAAGGACAACATGGAGCAGAAGCCAAAGCCCTGAATTTATTATATGCAATGTCACTAATGCTAGATTATAACTTAAAAAAACCATCAGGTTCACACAGATACTCTGATTTTTTTCTGCACTTACCAGCTCTGGACTAGCTTAACTGAAGGTCTATTCAGCAAGTTGTCAGGCAACAAGTTCACTTCTCTCATGGTATTAGCAAGCCGCACAGGAAGTTCTTTTCGCAGAAACATATATGATGTTTTTTCACATGCATTATCACGCCCTATGGAAAGCAAAGAGAATGCAGCTGAAGATAGATTTTTAATTCATATTTTGTCTATATTTAATTTGTTTATTTAGAAAATGTAGTAAGAAGGCAAACATTCTTTCCTTATGGACTCTAAAACCAAGTTCCCTTCCTGTCCGCAAAACTTAAATTCAATCTTACTGAGAAGAATTCCATATTCAACCTGAAATGCATTCCAGAGCCATGTAATATCCACTCTGAAGTTGGCAACCCTGACTAACTGCAACAATCACTCAAATATCCTCACACTTGCATTCATCTGCTTATTAATTACCTCTCTGTTAGTTGAAGAACTCCAAGCAAGTATTTGAGACTGAATGTACCTAAGTGGAATTCTGATTCACTCTGATAAAAGGTTTCCATCCCTATAAAATATTAAGGAAATATTTCCACAGATACTATGTTTTGCACACTTTGCAGACTGTCTCTTTCAGAATTTCCCATTCATATCTTCTTTGTCCAAATTATCCAGGAGAAGATGAGAACCTTAATAGTGTTCTGAAAGATATTTTTGAGTGTGTGGCTAAAATGGAATTGACAGTGCTACCCCAATGCATTTTTTTTCTTGGAAATAACTTCCACTGGTCAATGGAGCTTAATTCCGAAAGAGAAGATCACTACAGGTCCTGTGTAATATGAGAGATGCAAAGACCTCATAGAGTCTTGCTGTGACAGAAAGGTCTACAACCTAACTGTATGCCTAGTGGGGGTTGCTATATAGTAGTTTCTTCTGTTAACCAAGCAAGCCTCTTGTGAAAGATGGATGCTCTTGCAGCCCTCATAAACGTTGCCATTTTTGCTCCACTTTGAAGCTTTGTTTTGGACATATTTTGGATGCTTTTCTGGACTTTATTGAACTGACAACCCTCCATTGTACTAATATGCATTTTTTAAGAATGTTTAAGTTAGTTAAAGTGGTGGAAATGCTAGAACATGTTTGGGTTTCTTGCATTCTGTTAAAATAATGGGGTACTGAAGGATGTCATGAGACTTCCTTGTAATTTCTGGATTCATTCAATGATATTATTCAGTCGTTTTCTTTCACTTAAAACATATAGTTTCCTTTTGCTTACTATACATTCCTTTTATGCTGTAATCAATTTTATATTGCTTCACTTCTTATACTGTCATTGTTTTCTTGGTAATCATAGTATAACTGCTTTACATGTCATACTTTAAATATTATTGCTTTCTCTGTAATTATAATGCATTTGCTTCATTTGCTATGCTTTAAACATTACTATTAAGGGACGTGGTGGCGCTGCAGGCTAAACTGCAGAAGCCTTTGTGTGCTGCAGGGTCAGAAGACCAGCAGTCGTAAGATCAAATCCATGCGATGGAGTGAGCTCGTGTCGCTTTGTCCCAGCTCCTCGCCAACCTAGCAGTTTGAAAGCATGTAAATGCGAGTAGATAAATAGGTACCGACTCAGTGGGAAGGTAAACAGCGTTCCGTGCATAGCCGTGCTGGCCACATGACAACGGAAACTGTCTTCGGACAAACGCTGGCTCTATGGCTTGGAAACGGGGATGAGCACCGCCCCCTAAAGTCGAACACGACTGACTAAAATGTCAAGGGATCCTTCACCTTTACCTAAACATTACTATTATTATTTTCAATACAATATGTTGTCTTTACTTATATGAACATTTATTCATTTTCATTATTCTGTTTATTCTTTCAATACATTTTGAATTGGTTCACTTCTTGGTGCAATTTTGACTTAATGGTCACCCCCTGTAAGTTCACTATAGCAAAATGCTATAAACATTTTCAGTACTGTTTTAAGACAGTTGGGGTGTTAAAAGGAAAAATACATGGGGGGAATGGAAGGAGCTTCCCCAAAGAATGTGAATATTGTGAACTCATTTAGTCATTCCCTGGGCAATGATAGCACCCTGTTGACTGATCCTCCCAGTTCAGAAGAACCACTGGATTGCTTCCAACAAAAAGGAAGAAAGAGAAGTAAGAGAAAACTCCAAGCTCAAAATACTGGACATGCTTCTGGACAGATGAGGGATGACATCCAACACAACACCAGGAGAGTGAAAATCCCACCAGTTCAGTTACTTTCTGTTGCAGGGCTGCAAAAGCACAAGTAATAGCACAAGCCCCACCACAAGCATGCAAAGTAGGTTGAGTTAACTGCTTGTACAAGAGAAGTTACACTGGTTACCACCCTTGTGCAAAATCTGTAAATGTGTATTCACTGGCACAACAGACTGTTTCCTAATGCAAAAACTGGGTACAAATAGGGACTGATCAGTCCCATAGAAATTAAGATAAATGAAGGTTTTTGCTATGTGCTTTGTTCTCAATTACTTCATAGAATCACAGAATAATTGAGTTGGAAGGGGCCTAATAAGGCTATCGAGTCAAACCCTCTGCTCAACGCAGTAATGCAAATCACAGCAGATCAGACAGATGGTTATAGAATCATAGTGGTTACAAAATCATTTCAATGTGTTCTTGGTTTTTACTCATCACACTTTAAAGCATAATCCTCAATTACACAAATGTACCCAGAAAAGTCCAACAGAGACTTACCAATTCCCAGGCAAACAGGGAAATAGCTAGTCTTAGTCCATAAATATGTTCAGACAAGCACATACAGTACTTTGTAAAGGTTTATTCATTTTTTTCTTTAAAGCAACTGGGATGTTCCAATCTAGACACTTCCCAGCAGTCAGACACATACGCTTCAGACTGGAAACTATACATATTTTCATTTCTCTCACCCCCTCCCTAAGAGCAGACAACTCCACAGTAATATTCAAAAAGGCCAGGTAAACTCACAGACCTGTGTTTTACCTGTAATGAGCTGTCAGTATTCCACTTTAGGCAAGAGAAAGATTGCAAATGTGTTAGTCATGGTCACAAAAGACAACCGCCTGCAAAATGAACAAGTGCTGGAAGGTACTGATTAAGTTATGTTCATGCAGCCCAGGAAATAATGTTAAAAGCATCGCTATGCATATAATAACTAAGATTTGCAATTTGAAAAATCCTTAAGTGTAGTGCAACTGGCACAATCAAGGTCACACTTTTTAAGGCAGTCCCATTATAATCAGTTCAACAGCACATCATTCAGCATCTGTTCACAGATAAATGTACATTGGCAGGATAGAGCCCAATCAGCTTTCTGCTCCTTAAGTACCCAGTTTTTCCTCACTCCTTTAAGGCATACCTAACAATGGCTTGTTATAGCTTAGTAATTTTTTGTTTTAGATATGATCCTACAAGTATTTATTGATATATGTCATTGCCTGTTCATCTGCATGCATGTAGATGGAGCTGGTGGTTGGGGGCTGACAGAGGTCTTATTTATTTATTTTATTTCTACCCTGCTTTTCTTCCTATAGAGGGACTCAAAGCAGCTTACAAAAGATAAACACTAATGTTAAAACAATTACAAATAAAAATCACAGTATTAAAAAACAGTTTAATATATGAATTATTAAAAAGCATGAATTAAAACCCAGTAAAACACATTAAAAACACATTTTAGGAAGATAAAAGAATAAGAATTAGAGGATGATATAAAACAGAAGCCCTATTCTATCATATAATTATTCTGTAAAAAAGTATTTAGAACCTGTCAGGACTGTCTGCAATCACTGATCACAACTGACCAGAAATGGAGCCAGTTAATCTTCCAGTGGAGTTAGGCAGGCAACTACTGGCTATCAAAAGAAGCCACATGTTCATTAACAAGATATGAATCATTATTACACTGCACAGGGTCAGACAATGATAATTTCTCTTTACTAAAAGTTTAAGTCTTCTAAATTGCAAAAAACATTTTGCCATCACCAAGGCAGAATCACTGCAAAGGACCCAGGAGACCATGACACTGGGCCAGCACAGCATTCAGAGAACACAGAGACAGAAACTTGCTCCTCAGAGGAAAATATCAGTGGAGAGGGAATATGTATGATGCTGGAAGATGAGCCCCTCAGGTTGGAAGGCATCCAACATGCTACTGAGGAAGAGCAGAGGACAAGTATAAGTAGCTCCAGATTTAATGAAGTGGCTGGGCCAAAGCCGAAAGGATGCTCAGCTGCGGACATGCCTGGAAGTTAAAGGAAAGTCCGATGCTGCTAAGAAAAATACTGCTTAGGAACCTGAAATATAAGATCTAATGACCTTGGATGTGGTCAAATAGGAGTTGGCAAGAATAAACATTGACATCATCAGAGTCAGTGAACTAAAATGGACAGGAATGGGCAAATTCAATTAAGACAATTAACATATCTACTATTGAGGGCATGAACCCCATAGAAGAAATGGAGTAGCTCTCATAGTCAACAAAAGAGTGGGGAAAGGTGTAATGGGATACAATCTCAAAAATGATAGAATGATTTCAAGACGAATCCAAGGCAGATCTTTCAGCATTACAATAATCTAAGTTTATGCACCAACCAAGGATACTGAAGAGGCCGAAATTGACGAATTCTTTGAAGACTTACAACACCTTCTAGAACTGACACCAAAGAAAGATGTTTTTCTCATTCTAGGGGATTGAAATGCTAAGGTAGGGAGTCAAGAGATAAAAGGAACAACAGGGAAGTTTGGCCTTGGAGTTCAAAACGAAGCACGGCAAAGGCTAATAGAGTTTTGTCAAGACAACAAGCTGGTCATCACAAACACTCTTTTCCAACAACACAACAGGCGACTCTACACATGGAAATCACCAGATGGGCAATACCGAAATCAGATTGATTATATTCTCTGCAGCCAAAGGTGGAGGAGCTCAATACAGTCAGCAAAAACAAGACCTGGAGCTGATTGTGGCTCTGATCATCAGCTTCTCATAGCAAAATTCAAGCTTAAACTGAAGAGAGTAAGAAAAACCACTGGGCTAGTCAGGTATAATCTAAACCACATCCCTTATGAATACCCAGTGGAAGTTAAGAACAGATTTATGGAACTAGATTTTAAGAACAGATTTAGCGAACTAGATTTGGTGGACAGAGTG